AACCCCCGGGCGGTGTTTGCCGGCGGACCCGGGTCTTCCCGCCCCGAGGGCGGGAGCCGCTGGGGCCAGAGGGCTCGGGCGGTGGTCGCGGAGGGACGGGCCCTTCCCGGTCTGTGGCGGTCTCGGAGGTGCGGCCCAGGGGTGCGCCGCTGCCGTGGTATTTTCCTGAAGATGGACATTATTTAAGGTTAGGGGAGAAGGAGAAAAAACAATTTCCTAAGCGTGGGTCAGCGTTTTCTTTATCCTGTCAGCTTGACCCGTTTTAATTTCAGAGTATGTTAAGAAAGCTCTCCCTAGAGCTTTTTACCTGTTTCAGTAAACAAGGTGCTCCAGGATGCAGCACGCCAGTCAAAAAACAAACTTACTGTCTGATACCTCGGTGCAGGCAGCAAGCATAACTAGGAGGTTCTTACAAATCTGAGTGAACTGAGTCACAAATGAAAAGGTTTGGCAGGTTTAACAAAGACACTGATGTGTGTCCGCATCCCAATGTGCCTTATGCACATGGCCTCCTTATCTGTTTAGACTGGGGTGGTGGAGAGCTGAAGAGAGCAGGGAAAAGGATTTTTGTGTGGAGGGCTGAGGTGCTCAGGCAGAAGTCTGGGTGAGGCGATGCCCTGCCACCGAGGTGTATTGATCCCTGCCTGGCCATCAGCACCAAAATGGTTACCCAGAAATGCTGAGCTATGAAAGGGATACATCCTGGTTGTTGATTGCTTCAGCTAGAATGGTTTTCTTCAGGTTCAGCACATCTTTCATTTTCAGTAATTTCCCAAGGATTTAAAGGTTTTTTTATCGTTTTCACAAAGATAATTAGTATCCTTTTCAGCCAGATGACATGGGTAGATCAGCAGGTAGAGCGTACATCACAATAGACAGGTATTTCCATAAATTGAACGAAATGTTTTTGATGCGTATATCAAATACGGTCACAGAATCACAGAATGGTCAGGGTTGGAAGGGATGTCTGGAGATCATCTAGTCCAACCCCCCCGCCAGAGCAGGGTCACCTGCAACAGGTTGCACAGGACAGCGTCCAGGTGGGTTTTGAATGTCTCCAGAGTGGGAGACTCCACCACCTCTCTGGGCAGCCTGTTCCAGTGCTCCACTACCCTCAAGGTAACGAAGTTCCTCCTCTGTTAAGATGGAACTTCCTATGTTCAAGTTTATGCCCATTACCCCTCGTCCTATCACTGGGCGCCACTGAAAAAAGACTGCTCCCATCCCCCTGGCATCCTCCCATTAAGTATTTGTAAGTATTAACAAAGCCACTCATCTTTGTATTGTTTTGTATTCTTAGCAGGATGAAGAACAACCCTCTGTTTAGTGATTCTGCATCTTTAAATACACAATACGTCTAGGAGCAGGGTCTGTGTAGAACAGTGTATCATCTAAAAGTGTGAGGGATGCAATCAGCTATTTCTCTGCATAATAAGAGTACCTTGTACCACTGTGTTTCTGGCTTCTGAGGAAAGCAAGTGTCTCTTTCAGCCTCCAGTTAAGGGTCAGCATGCTTGTGAGGTAGAAATTATCATCACCACTTTCAGAAGGAGAAATTGCAACACAGATATTAAGAAGCGGGGTTAATAAATTATGCATTTGGTTCCTCTGGTGGCATGCAGAACTAGAGCTGATGCTTAAGATCCCAAGACAGTACAGAGGGAAAGGAAGGCGTTTTGCAGAGGTGATCAGAACTAGTGTAGGTTACCAGTAGGAAATGTGGGGAGAATGCTTAGAAACACTCCCTACCCCTAAACCTGGTGCAATGTTTCAGGATGGTAGAGGACTATTTCTTTTTAACTGGGATTTATACACCAGAACTTTTTACAGCTGCTCTATAATTGCAGATGAAGCACTTCTGCTTTATGTAACAGACTACCATTTAGTCAGGTATTAGGAAAAGTATCTTCAACTGCAGCCTCAAGTTAAGGGAGTTGAAATCCACGTTGTCTATTTGCCAGGAGAGTATCCTTATAATCAAATTCACAGGCTTTTCCTATTAAGGCTGAGACACAGCACAGCCACAAATTCAAGCTGATTGGGCCAGACAGAGCTCAGTTAAGATGTTAATGTAGAGGAGGGAAGGTCTAGTTTCTGCCCTCAACATCTTTGTACAGTCACAGGATATATTACATATGGTCAATTCACTGGGTATATTACACATGATACACACTTCTGTTTTATGTAAAATTTGTGGAGAGTCATCAGAAGCAAAATTTAAGTGTTGCTTACCAGCAGAAAAGGGATTGTTTGTATCATAGTTTAGAACATCTGTACCTTTCTTTAGCCTAATTACTTCACTGTATCTGGCCAGAGGTCATTTCAGAGAGGAGATCGTAACTCCAGATTCTTGTTTGCTTATTCTCTGCTTTCACCAATGACCACATTTAGTTAATTTATCTTTCTCTTAAATATAATTACTTTTATTCCTCTTTTCACATTAGTAGTGTGGAACATGTTTCATGCTTAAATACGTAATTAAAAAAACTTGACAACTTCCCATGTCACCTAAAATGAAAACTGCGTTTTCAGAGTTTACATTCCAATACTTTGTTTTGTGTTTTTTTCAGGAGCAATGAAATTGTGATGTTAACTTATGGCTTCTTGCGGGTGTTTGTCAGGCATCTTTAATCTAAAGAAAGAACCACAGAGAACTGCATATTTACTAGAGTATTAACACAACAGCAACGCTTTAGAGCTGGCTACTTTACCCTTGCCCTGAACATCCTGCGCAAAGCTTACTGTGATTGATTTTACAGGTAGGTTTTCTATATAATATTAAACTATTTCAGTCTGTTGGGTGGTTGCTCAGGCGGGCCACATGAAGAGACCCAGACAATGTTGTTTTGTTTGACACAGAGTTTTACTAGGTTTTATAAATCAACCTTTCATTTTCAGAAGTGCATGTGGAGAATTTTAGGGCTATCACTACTGTTTGACAGAACACGTGATTTCTGGTACCATAGTCTAAGACCCATTTCATCCTGTTTTCAGATACAGGACTCTGACAGTTATTTCACTGTGTGGCTAAGACCTTGGTCTTGCATATAAATGTATTAGTAAAGCAGTTGCAGCACCAGGGCTTAAATTCGTTAGCATTCCACTTTGTTTTCCATTGTAATTTGTACCATAAAATGTTCCCTCCTTCTGGATGCTCTGTCTAGGTTGAAATCATTTAAATGCACCAAAACCAGGAAGTAGTTATGCCAGTTGTGCTTTTGTGGAGTTTTGCTGTTAAGAAGACCTTAACGTTTGCTAAATGAATTGGAATTTTTATGTATATTTCCTCAAACATTTACTATTTAGGTTAGTTCCCTTTGATGTATTTATTCTGTAACTAGTGACTGCATAGAACATGCAGATTGTTCAAGAAGCACGAGCTGCGGCGTACAAGTTGTTTTCTCTGTAGCTGTATGCTGTAACCAGTAGTCTTTGGGGTCAGCCTGCATGCTCTCCTGATCATGGGATTTTTGCATTCTTGGCTGGAGTTGGTTAGTTGAAGTAAGTTGAAACAGCACATACCCTATCAGTGTAGGTAACTCTAAAAGAAAATAGACAACATGGGGTTTACTGCTTTTAGGATGAAGAGAGAAACCCCCAGCTTTTCCTCTTGCAGTATGGCTAGCTTAATTAATAGTCATTTATTCCTAAAACGTTGACAGGTCAAATTTTCCTGTCCAGCTACTTAGACTCTGTTTTTGCTAGGTGAGGGTCAGTTAAATTCAACTCATGCTGAATTGAACTGTATGGTTGGGCAAGGCAATGAAAGAAGTATTTACAAAAGTGTGGTGCCTGAAAAAGACCTCCTCTGGAGTACCAGGGGCAGGTTTTGATTCTGAGTGACCTGTGGAGACCTTGGAAGGAGCTGCCAGTCATTGTTACAAACTGTTAGCTAAGCCTGGGTAAGCCTGCATTTATTGCTGGATGTTCACTAAAAAAAACTTGGATAGAGTCCTAGGCCTTTATGTTGAATGGGGTAAAATTAATTAACTGCAAGTTTCCAGACCAGTGGCTAAGAAAAGAGGTCGTTTATGATATTTATGGTATTCCCTAGAGTAGAAGCTGGAAGGAATGCAACTGTAATCTACCATTTCTGACCTGCACCCTCAATTGGGCAGTTTATATTTCAGCACTCTGCCTCAAGGAAGGCTCAGCACATTGTTACAGTTTTAGGCCTTGGTTTATCTGGTGTTAGGTTTGGGCTTTTTTTTTTTTTTTTCCCCCTCATGGGAGAGAGAATGGTTAGGTTGAAACGCTTTTCTTGCTCTCCAGCAGAATTTGTCTTTTTGATTCATGGTACCTCAAGTTTGTACAGCAGTTTGTTTATGTCAGGATGGGGAAGTACACTTTGTTTTTTAAAAGATTTGATTTTAAAGAGTTCATATTTTGTCCTTGTTCTCACTTGTAGACAATGCTCCTGCTCTCAGAGACTGGGCATAGCTGTATCCCACTGGCCATCTAATGATATTAGTGATGGTATTTCTGACTTGACTTTGTTTTGCCTGTGGAGTAATCATGGCATCAGCAGGTGTCTGAGAATAAGCACTGAGCCTGCCAATCTTTAATCTTAAATTTCCCAGAGACATAAGCCATTAGCTACATGCAGGGCCTCCTCTACGTGAAAACTGTGGTGCTCCCCCTACCAGTGATTTATCTATGGATCTTTTGTGTGTGTTTCATGCAGTAGAAATCCTTTATGTTCCATCAATGGTTGTGTTCCCCAGAAGAGAATAAATTCCTTAAAGTATTTCCTGAAAATAGAGACATAATAAATGATATCAAATGTTATAAATACTCTGTATATGGAAGTTGGAGAATATTTGTGAAATTGAATTTACTAAACAGAGACCAATCAGCCTTCAAAGAATGTATTCCTCTGTCTCTACCAGCATAGCATACTGAACCTCCTGGGCAATTGCAGCCAGTTTGGCAGAGAGGAAAAAGTAAAAAATCTAGTAAATTGCTATACATTTTTTTAAGCACACATCTCTGGATATAAGAGGAAGAACCTTTTAATGGTCTGAGGGGAATTATGCAGCATAACCAGAATCCTTATTAGGCAGGAGAGAAGCCACATAGAGCTCAACCCATAGCATAACTCCATAGGAAACCAGGTTTCATTTTTTCTATTCCTGATTGAACAGCTTGCTTGCTTGCTCTTTTCAGTAATCTCCCACCTCCTACTTATTCAAAAGGAAAATAGTGTGCTTGAAACTGCATGACATTTTGTATAGTATTCTTATATTTTTAGTAGAAATAGCAAGAAGCATTCACTCTGAAAAAAAAATCCAGCTTGGTTTGTTATGGGATGATAAAAATAAATTTACTATGTTAATCTGTTATTTTGACATAGATACTCACCTGCAAATTTCAAATTTCAACTGAATTGTGCTGCG